CGCACACGCACACGCACACTCATACACTCTCACCCACACAGTCACATAACTCACTCTCTCACACACAGACACAGACACACACAGACATACCCACAGACACACATCCACACACTCACCCCCCACACCCCTTGCTTCTTCCTATTTCTCCACTAAATTTTAGAGCACTGGAAATTCCAAAAACTGGGATTACCCATCTGAAAGTGTCACTGAAGCTTTGTATGTAGGTCTGCAAGGACATTTTGATGATACCTTTTGCATGGAATTTTGTGCTTGCTTCCTATGCTTTAACCGGTTCAGTCATCTTTCCCTGAATTCTTTTCTTAAGGCCACCACAGTGCTCTATTCACTTCTTAAAAGTTGTTGACTGTGTTTAATGACTAGAACTTTTAGCCACACACTATGTTGAATAAAGCCCACATTCAGGTGTCATCTGAAGATAAAAATTGTCAGTAGTAAAAACCTGTTCCTTCAATAGAGTGGCCATATGAGCTTCTGCCAGCAGGCTTGGTTTTCACTATACACGCAGGGAATGACTCATATATGTCTGCACATGTTTTTGAATGGAGCAAAACCTATATCCTGCAGTGTATGACTCCTGTTTCCACAATATTGTATCATAAACTAGTTTTTAAAAATCTAAATTAAATGATCTGCCTTATTTTTGGTAACCTGCTTCTTCTTTAACATATGAACTATGACTTCATTTTTTTCACCAGAATTGAGCCTTCTGCTTGTCACTTATGGTAAAATTTTGTCTTCTATTTCATCTTCAGAGAAACATGGACTATTATTATTATTATTATTATTATTATTATTATTATTATGAGTATTTTGGAGCAAAGTACCCTTGCTTTATGCAGTGACTCTTATGGCTTTCTAAATTCACTTGATTTAGCTTTCAATGTGTAATTACTGCCAAACAAGTTAATTGCTTTATAAGTGTCCAGAATTCCCTGGTTAAATTTGCTTTCATTTACCAACCTTCATCATACACCAACTGCTCAACATAAACACAAATGATTGTTAATGAATGCCTAATGCCATATTCATTAGAAAATCAGGTTAATGACTGACAATGAATATCCTAGCTACTTTATTTTTTCAAGCCCCTCCCCCACTGGCTTGTTGATTACAATAGTCTTTTAGTTCGAAAATAAATTCTGCCTACAATTGAAGTTTCAAGGAGAAGCCTTTCCAGAGAGTTGATAGATAATCCTAATCTTTGTTGCTTCTTTTCTCTGGTAGATACCTCCCAAGTCATCAATTTGTAGATAACAGATTCATGCAGTCATTGTATATCAGCTTTACCTCAACAAAACATTCTACTTATTTTTTAAAGGAACAGAATGTACTGTTGGCTACCATGGAGCCTTATTGTTTTGAAAGTACAGATTACAGGACAGCTGTGCACACATGGAGATACTGTTTTCACATCACAGTCACTCTGAATGACGCTACTCAGTTGTACCCTGACACAAGCATAGCTTAAACAGTGGTACCAAGAAATCTCAATGTCAGAGCAGTGCACATAGGGTCCTGTCCACCTTAGTTAAAGGTTACCTAGTTGGAAAACCCATGATGCATGAAAACGCATGGGTAGAATGAGTACAGAGGTCTCACTGAAGAGGGGATTGAGATGCATGTTGGACATGGATCTGACTTCATCTGGTAGACCTTTCTTTAAACAGGCATCCCTCTTTCCTGAACAGATGAAGTAGTTTCCAGGTTTTCCAAAGCAGACTTCTGGGGTTTGAAGGCTGCATATGTACCCTGCTAACTCAACAGAGAGCTGAGTAATCACACCAGTCCATGCTTGGTGAAGCTGCATTGGCCTTTCACTATATTGGATGATCTGAAGTAACTTTTTCACCTAGCATGCAAATGGTGGTAGTTTGGGATTCCTTCCTGTTTTTTGAATGTGTTCTTTGGTCCTGTTAGTTATATGTTTGTCATGTACATACTTGACACCAGGGCTACTATGTAAAAGATATGTTTGCTTGACTTCATCAGCTCCCGCCTTGCCTGTACTAATGGTGTATTTATAACCCTCTTTCGGGGCTATTGGAAATACTCCCCCATATATTTCCTCTAGATTGAGTTTTATTATTTTTCTGCCTCCTTTAAACCTAACCTTTTACTTCTCATGTCCTCCTGTCTTAGATTTCAGGAAGGCCATTATATCTTATTGATTATTGTTGAGTAGAAAGAAGTCTGTTTTCCAAGTCCACACACCTGTATGTCTTTCTCCTTCACAACATTCAGCTGTACTGATTTTCCCTGCATGGGTTTTTGTACCTATCCCTGTTTTAAATCCTGGTCACCCAGGCCTGGAGAGATGCTCCACAATTAAGAGAATTTGCTAATCTTGCTGAAGACCCAGGATTAATTCCTAGCACCCACATCAGGAAGCTTTCAGCTGCCTATGCCTCCAGTTCCAGGAAGATCAGACACCTTCTTCCAGCTGCCTTGGGTGCTTTCATACATATAGTAAATGCACATACACTCAGGTACACACACACATACACATAAAATTAAATCAACAAATAAAATCTTTAAATCCTTACTACCTTGGTGAAAAGTGGAAGGACCACTGTTTTTTGGTTGCATGACTATATCCTGGCCTTGGGCCTGTTGGGGTATGTTCTTCAAGGTATCAGGATTGAGTTTAGCAAATGCTGGGTCAACGGCTCTGAACACTGTGACTAAATGAAAAACATCAACTTGCAAACAAGAAGTTAGAAAACCAATTCAGATAGAATCTTATTAAGGTTTGACATTTTAGGGAAAATGTCAAGGTTCTCTCCCATCATGAGGTCCTCAGGTTACCTTCTATGGATGCCCTGAGCAATCATATTATATGTATTGCACATTTGTTTCAAGCAAGTTTTACTCCTTTTAATTCTGAATAACATACAATTCCAAATTAATGACTTCCACCAAGTAGTATTCATTTATTAATGTTCTTGGGTATGTGGGTTGTCTTTGCGTATATCAGTTGGGGATAGCTCAAGATTATGTGACATGTGCCAAAAGATTATGGCAAAGGGTGTACCAGTTTGATTCCATGTCATCTTATTAAATCCAGAGTCATTTCCTCCTTTATAACACACTAGCATCAAATTTTTAAACTCATTCACAAGGGTTTTTTAAATTTCTTGCATGTGGCTTCATCTGAACTCTTAAAGGTGGCAACTGCATTTGGAATTTGCCGTGGTTTCCATAACTGGGACAGAGTTCTGGGTATTATGGTACTCACAGTATAAAGGGTCATTCTTAGAATAAATCAGCTTCTGAGCTGCCTAAAAGTCATCTTTCAGTGATGAGACAAGTCTGAAGTGACACTAATCCTTGTTCCCACTCTTCCAGAAGTCTAATTGCTATATTCCAATTGTGAGAAGCATGATCCTGTGGGAGAGAGGCACACCTCATACAAGCGTGAGTGAGCAGAATCCTGTTGCCTAAGGCCACATTATACTGTCCTCTACATCTGCACTGTCCTCTACATCTGCACTGTCCTCTACATCATCTGCACTGTCCTCCACATCATCTACACTGTCCTCCACATCATCTGCACTGTCCTCCACATCATCTACACTGTCCTCCACATCATCTGCATGTCCTCCACATCATCTGCACTGTCCTCTACATCATCTGCACTGTCCTCCACATCATCCGCACTGTCCTCCACATCAT